CCCAGCCACTATTCACGTGAATAGTGGCTGCCCTAGCTCCCCCCCTCCCTTGCCATGGCTAAGGGCAACTGTTGGAATTGCTCTTAGGCCCCGTTTGGTTCATAGGAAAGGAGGCTTGGGGATGGGAAATCAATTGCTTTCCCATGTTTGGTAAGTCTAGGCATGGAAAATCGTTGCTTGGCCCATGGGAAAGTAGGGGGAAAGTGAAGCCATCCTCCCATCTTGGGTTTTGTTTTCCCTCCTCATGGGAAAATTTAGGAAAATGAGCCAATATTAAATAAACATTTTTCATGACCATTTTGTCCCCATTAACAATTTACAATTACAATATATCATTAAATGCATTCTTTTATTTATTTATTTGATTTAATATGGGTATAATTGAAAATTTATACCAACTTTGTTTTCCATTCACACTCAAAACAAACATGAGAAAAGAAATAAAGTGATATCTCCCGATTACTTTCCCAGTATTACCAAACGTGGGAAAGGAATCTTCCATTTCCCATCCCTTGGGAAATGACATGGGAAATGATTTCCCCGCAAATTCATTCCGTGAATCAAATGGGGCCTTATGTTAAAGAGTTCAAAAATGTAGTGTGAAGGAACAATTAGAAAGAAACAAATGAAGGCCAAATAAACAAAGTTGTTCTTGAATTGGTAAACGAATCTACCACCAAATGCACAATCCTTTGTTATTATAGGACCACTATTATTAAATAATGCTAAACTCTAGATGACATCTTTTCAATAAAGGTTTTCTAGTGCTTGTAGATGTTGGCTTTGCTGAAGAATGATATGGGTCACTGAATTTAGGTGGTAAGATTACAAATGGTCTCGTTAAACTAAAGTACTTTATTCTGTAATTTAACAAAAGTACTTACTAGTTTTATATTATTATAATTATGTTCTAATTTACGGGAAGGACCCACTATTATTAAATAATGCTAAACTCTAGATGACATCTTTTCAATAAAGTTTTTCTAGTGCTTGTAGATGTTGGTTTTGCTGAAGAATGATATGGGTCACTGAATTTAGGTGGTAAGATTACAAATGGTATCGTTAAACTAAAGTACTTTATTCTGTAATTTAACAAAAGTACTTACTAGTTTTATATTATTATAATTATGTTCTAATTTATGAGAAGGAGACTGAACTCATGTGTGAAGGACGGATATATTGTCCTAGCTCATTGGCCAAACCCACGTTTGCAAGTAATTAATTTAAATTGGATATACATTGGCACAAATGGTAGTTTATAAGCATTTGATTGTGAGATTTACGAATGTGGAGAAAACGAAAATAGACGTGAAGTGTGGTTTAAAACCTAAACCCAACTCTGTTTCAGTTAGGCCCTTGGGCAACTGGTTCCAAATGCCATCAGGATGTCTCTTATTCTTGATCCACAAAAGACGAAGTAACAAAGCAGAATTTCTTTATATCAAACGGGGGTATAAGAAAAAATGGAAATAATAAAGTTTAAAGAAAAAAAAAAGGAAAAAAAGTTGAAGAGAGGGAGACTCTCTTCATTCTTTGAGTTGTTTGTCGGGCAATGGAGGGAGGGTCAAACCAAGAAAAATTATTTCATCATTTCACCCATATTTCCAATTGAGCTGTGAGAAGATTAAGAACAACAGTGAGCTGTATGATATTCTAATTCTGACTGAGTAGCTTCATGGCTCTGAGCCCTGAACCATGAAGTGGTCATTTTCATTTAGACTTAACCATTAAAGCTGATTCTAAAGCATCAAATCTTGGTTGTTTCAATGGTTCTATGTATCTATCTAGTAGTACTAGTAGTTACCCTTTCTTTTTCATAACAAAAGTTGATCGAATAAGAATGAATGTGTCGACACTGAAAATCTGCAATTGATGATCGAAGTACTAGGAGATGTCAATGAAATTAACTTGGCTTAAATGAGGACAATGCAGCAAGTTCATTTTAGATAACCTGATAAGATCATGAGGTTTGTAAATTAATCACCATCTTTTTCAATCCACAAAGTGAAGAAAGAGTTGAAGGCATGGAGACAAACAACGCCGTCCAAATAACAAAATGCATTTCGTATCACACTCAAACAGGGACAGTGGGACTTTTTGGGTAGGTGCTTTCAGGAAAAATGATTAAAAAGAGGTCAAGTGGGGATGGGGATGGGGCTCTGTATTTTATGTATTTTTTATTTTTTGTGTCCCCTTGAGAGCTGGTTCCCCTCATGACAGTAGCAGAAAAATTCTCCACCACTTCGTATTTTAGCTGCATGTAGGCTTCTCAAGAGATAGAAGAGAAGTTCACTTGGGGCCCTGCAGCCTTGGACAATGCCATCTTTTTCAAACATTTGTGTGGAAAACTTTCATTTTCCAGAGCAACTTATTTGCTTTGTTGGCGGCACAGATTATGAGTTGTGTTGTGCATGAGCAGCCAGCACTCAGTCTCATAAACATACAGTAGAAATAAAGGTCTTGTTTTGTCCTCAACAAGTAACATGATCATCCCAACTTCTTAATTACTTCACTGATCAAGCAGCACAGTTTCAAAACGACCATTTGATATTTTTAGTCTCCACTTTGTTGGAGGAGATGGTGACTTCAAATCTCAACAACGAAAGTCGTCAACCTGAGAAATAATAAAGAAGACTATGAGGTCTAAGACATGTCACAAGAAAAACCCTATTGAAGAAAACATGCATATAGTTATAGCAGGTATATTTAGTTGTTTTTTTTTTGTCGTAATCATGGATTTCATTCAAAAGCAACTCTGAGAGCATACAGAAGTTGAGATTACAAAAGCAATACAAAATAAACCCATCCCACGAACCCCATTCTTCTGAATATTCATTGTCAAGTACTGTTCTTCTATCCAGCTTTATAAGATAACCTCTGTATTAAACAGATAAATCAGAGCACCGTTTTGGGAATTATTATCATAAAAAGCAAGATTCAGCCACTATCATCAACAGTTACCCGATCCAAGGCCATGTCCCCTGCTATTCACAAAATCTTATCAACCAGTAAAGTGGAATCTCAACATACCATGTAGATGGACATAAAACATAGGGAGACTGCCAATCTAACAGTAGCGCAATTATTTGTGATTGATATCCACTCTACCCCTATTTATAAACATTTTCAATCAATCTGAAAATATATCTTGGAATTTTTCAAGGGTTTTGTTTGTGCCACAGAAAAAATTACCATAATCATTGAGAGAGAACATTAACCCTTCTTAAGCTTTTTCTCTAGCTTGCTGGTACCTATGCTTAGAGATTAGACAAAGATGCGTCTGGACATTAAGAGAGCACAATGGCTAGAAGATGCCTCTAGGCTCTAGAGATGATCTTATCCGTTATCCCCACTTGATTTTGTTCATGTTGCCACAGACCATAGAAGACAGAGGCAATGGAAAAGAAACAGACCAAGTTTGCATCCATCATTTTCACAGAAACAAATTCTTCTACTTCTACAAACATATCAAGATTCTTCAATGAAATTATTGTCCCTTGATTAATCATTTTTCAGTTATTACTGAAATTGCACAAAAATGCGTTTTCTTCGGTTCCTATCAGGACACTTCTGTTAGACTGTTACCTTTGTCTCTAAGCCTACAAACCCTTTAGCTTTTATCAGCTCCTCCTTATTCATATATGTAGATGCTCGCGGAACTTTTCTAGGACAAAACGGCCCCGTTCCACATGCACATTTCTGACTCTGAGAGTGAACACATTTCTGTTGAAAACAATATGTGCAAGTACGTGAACATGAATGGTTAATAATGAGGGAGGACAAATTGATAACATGTGGCAACCTTACCATCTCATGAGTCATGTCAAAAGGTTTCAGGAATATTGACGAGATAAAAGACTTGATGCAGGAACCTTTTTTTTCTTGTTCTTTTTCTAGTAAATCTTATGCCAGAATGATGGTGAAAAATGAATGTCAGTGCTTTATAAGGCCGGCTAGAACTATCAAACAGAAAACATGACAGCAGTGGAAGATGTGGAGACAGACCTGCATTAAATCACCAATCCCATCAAAGCTTATAAGCTGATATCCTCAAAACATGGTAGAATATGGGATTTTTTTTGGAGTTCAATGGTAAATTGACTGCAAACAGCAGAAGAAAAAAAGTTTAACCTTATGAAGATACTTGTTAAAAGCAATCCCAGTTTATCAGCTAAGCTCTTTCGGTTAGAACTCCACCTGTGGACCTACCAACAGTAGAGAGTCCGACGTTTTGTGTCCCCAGAGAAAGAAAATCAACTTAATTGTCGAATTATATGTTTGGCTCCATTGAGGTCCGACAAGATATCCCCTGCAATCCCCACTGTTCAATCTAGGGTCTTCGCAAAAGT